GTATAAGAACTCAGGTAGTTACTGAATGTCTTTTGTATGCTCATCTGATGTGCTTATTACAAAACTTGTACCAGACATTGCCGACCTCAATCTTTCAGAAACTGATGGCAAATTTGATGTTGAGGATGCTGATGATAGTGCGGATGGTGTTAACAAAAGAACTACTCCTGGTGCGTGCTTGTCCGTATTTTTTTAAGTTTTACAAATAGGTAATGAAAAATATTTTCCTTTTATCATGATTTTGGCGATAAACAGATTTCCCGAAGAAAAATTGACTTTTTTACACACGCCCTTCTTTAAGTAGGGAGGCACAGCGGCCTACCAATTAGCGTGCAGGACTCTGGAAAGTCCTGATGCAATTAGAGGGACCCCCACCCTGTGAATGTGCATTAATAATATTTCTACCGTGGACTAGCGCTATATCCGTTGATATTCTCCTTATTATGGTGGAATTGTGATTTCTTGAACCTTACCGAGGAAATGAAAGTGATGATAAAGCTGGTGATAGCTGTACCCACAAGCCTCACAACATCACTGGAAAAGGATGTTTCTCCCAGAAGAGGTGAAGATTACATGTAATTTTGACAAGCTAGTTCTTAGTATTTTCTTTAAAAGATTATTACCGCCATCTTTGAGTTTAATGGCAGCGGAAGGCTGGGGAAAGAAAGAAATTTGTATAGAGGGGGCAGTCGATAGTCAAAAATAAGGCAAAGGATGGGGGTGGGGAAGTAAAGATTACGCGTAATTATGGCAAGCGAGTGAGATGGGGTTGTTACACGACTACCATATATGGTAAGCATATCAAGACCTCATATGTTCCATTACAAAGCACTTGTTGCCACAAGATTTTGCATTTCTCTTCATTGTTTTGCTAATTTTTGCTAGCGCCGTGTTCCTTTTGTGTAAGAGTATTACTGCCAGACCTGGTTACGCCACAAATTGTAAGTTCGTTACTCTTTCGTGTTACTCTGTCGTTATTCTTGTTGTCATTGTATTTGTACTTAGATATTTGTTTTAATTAATCATTTTTAGTCAAATCACATCGACAAATTTACACATCTTTACATCTAAACATTTGTCTATCTAGGAATTAGATTAAACGTGCAGTCATGTGAGGCGTAGAATGTGTAGTATTAAGCGACATTTCTTTCAAAATTTGCATGGATTGTTTATGGAGAATTTCCGACCTGTCACAGTTCTTCCAGCTGTCTCCGAGATCTTTGAACATCTCATTCATCAATAATTGACAATTTATTCAGAGAATATTTTTCATAATTCTATGTTTGGATACAGAAAATATCATGGTTGCCCAACGGCACCCCTTGCACTCACTGAACAGTGGATGGAGAATATTGATAATCACAACATTTTCGGCACGATAGCCATTTAAGTAAGGCCTTTGACTGTCTACCATACGACTGAATTCTAGAAAAACTTAAATTCTATGGCTTAAGTGATCATGCGCTATCTCTAATGTGAAGCTCTCTCTCTTCTCGCCATCAAAGAGTGAAGCTCTGTACCGCTTTCTCCACGTGGGAAGGGGTGTTAAGAGGAGTCCCTTAAGACCCTTAATGTTACGAATGAGAGCTTGAGAGCCTTAAGGATTATTAAATTCGTAACATTAGTTTTGACTAGTATTTTGACTGCGGCGGTAATATTGTAATAATGGTTTTAAATAGTTTTAATCAATACTTGATTCGTGATTTTACCTGATGTATTGTGACATTAGTGCTGTTTCGTTGTTAGGTTTCAATTAGTTGTTGGGTGGAATACCTGTAAACTAGCCCTCAAGTTTAGTGTATATCCACCTTAAATAAAGTATGTATGTATGGATGTTTAAGTACCCTCTAGGGTTACTGTGTATGTACCCAGAATACATTGCTGGAATAAAGTTGTGTTGAAGCGGCCATGTTGTTTGACCTCGTGGGTTTATATCACTAGCAATATATTACATTTTGGCGACGAGGATCGGTCGTTGTTCCACGTCATTCAAAAGTGCAAGGTCTTTGGACAACGCTGTGTGTGTTGTGGCATAGAAGATGGCCAGCACTAGTGCGAGTGGATTATTTGAACGTGTTGGCGAATTCAACGTCACACGTGAAACGTTTAGTGCCTACGTCGAGAGGATGGAAATGTTCTTTACAGCCAACAACATTGTAACGACAACAGGAGAGGGAAGCGCTGCCACCAACCTTGTGGTAGCGAACAGGAAACGTGCCATTTTCCTGACAGAAGTGGGGCCGGAGGTATACACAACCCTCAGCAACTTATTGGCGCTCACTAAACCGAAGGACGTGTCATTCACTAACATTGTGGAAGTTTTGGAGAAACACTACAACCCGAAGCCCCTGGAAATCGCACAAAGTTTTCACTTTGGCACGCGAAATCAAAAATCCGAAGAATCAGTTGGCGATTATGTGCTGGCTTTGAAGAGATTGGCGGTCCACTGTAATTATGGTGAATTCCATTATCGGGCGTTACGTGACCGATTTGTATGTGGACTGAACAATCCGAAGACACAAACAAACTACTGAACACAGATGACCTCACATTCGAAAAGGCTTGCAGTATTGCCAAGACCATGGAGATGGCAGACAGGAACACCCAAGAATTTCACCCTTCACGCAGTGAAACTGTTCAAGTAAACAAGTTGACAGAACAAGGAAGTAAAAACACTGAAAAGAAGAACACTGAACAATTGTCATGTCCTAGGTGTGGGGGTAATCATTCAGGTCAGTCTTGTAAATTTAAGTCAGCAAAATGCTACAAGTGCTCCAAGATTGGGCATTTAGCTTCTGTTTGTCGCAGTTAGGATGAAAAGAAAAAGGGTAAAATTCATAGTGTACAGGCTTCAGAATCAGGCAATGATGAGTGTGAGGATGAGGAATTTATTCTCTGAATTCGCTTGACCAAAACAAGCCTAATTGCAATAGGTACACTGTAGAAATGGAAATCAATGGTAAACTGTGTATGATGGAGTTAGACACAGCTGCAGATTTCTCAATAATGAGTAGAAGTGAATATCTAGAGAGGTTTGCAGACAAGCCTCTGTCTCCTTCTAAAGTAACACTTAAGACATACACGGGTGAATTACTTGATGTGTCAGGGGAAATGCAGTGTGACATAGTGTATAAGGGTAAACCATACTCTCTACCCATTCTTGTAGCCAATTATGATGCAAAACCTACTTTACTTGGTAAAAACTGGCTGCGGCACATTAAGTTTGAGTGGGGTGAGATATTTTGTATTCCCAAGGGAGACCCTAGGAGTGCTGATAGTCAACTGAATGAGTTGCTATCTAAACATAGCGAATTGTTTACTGAGAGTTACAAAGGTATGACGGGCCTTGAGGCCCATATTACTATGAGAGGCGATGCAAAACCTGTATTCGTGAAAACGCGTAGGGTTCCATACGCTTTAAAAGAGCAAGTCGAAAAAGAGTTAGACAAACTAGAAAAGCATGGTGTTATTAAGAAAGTTGACAGGTCACTTTGGGCTAGCCCAATTGTGGTAGTGCCAAAGGCTGATAACACTGTCAGAATATGTGGAGACTACAAATCCACTATCAATCAGTCAGTTGAAGATGAGCAATATGTTTTACCTACTACTCAGGATTTGTATGCTGCTCTGGTTGGCTCTAAGGTATTTAGTAAGCTTGATCTATTACATGCCTATGCCCAGCTGAATGTTGACAAAGAAAGTCAAGAGTACTTGACAATTACCACTCATAAAGGCCTTTATTCCTACCAGAAATTGCCCTATGGGGTCAAGTCATCCCCAAAAATCTTTCAAGCAAAAATGGATCAAATTCTTCAGGGAATTGAAAAATGTGTTTGTAAACAAGATGACATCTTGATAGGGGGCAATGACTGGCAAGAGAATCTCAAGATACTTGCTGATGTGTTGGACAGGCTACACCAATACAATTTGCATTTAAAACTGGCAAAATGCGAGTTTTTGAAACCTGAAGTGGTTTATCTAGGTCTGAGAATAAGTGCCGAAGGCCTGCAACCGGTGGAGGAGAAGATCAGTGCAGTGAAAAGAGCCCCAGCCCCAAAGAATGTGAGTGAATTAAGGTCCTTCCTGGGCATGGTTCAGTATTATCATTCCTTTTTGCCAGGGCTGGCTACAACCTTAGCACCTCTGCATAGGCTTTTGCAGAAAAATATTCAATGGGAATGGACAGATGACTGCCAGAAAGCTTTCGAGGCATGCAAGGAGGGCCTCACCAGTGAGTCGCTGTTGGTCCACTATGATCTAAATCGTGAGCTTAAGTTAGCTTGTGATGCATCGAGTTATGGTTTGGGGGCAGTGCTTAGTCATGTAATGGAAGATGGTCAAGAAAGGCCAATAGCATATGCGTCACGTACCCTCAGCTCAAGTGAGAAAAATTATGCTCAAATTGAACGGGAGGCCTTGTCTATTATTTTCGGGGTAAAAAAATTTAATCAGTTTCTATATAGACGAAAGTTCACTTTAGTTACTGACCACCAGCCATTGTTGGCTATTTTGGGCCCAAAAGCTGCTATACCCACACTTGCAGCTGCCCGTATGCAGCACTGGGCACTTGTCCTTTCAGCATATGACTATAACATTGAGTACAGGAGCTCCGAGAAGCACAGCAACTGTGACGCCCTTTCTAGATTACCCCATGAAGAGTCTAAGATTGGCAGTGAGAGTGAGAGTTACAATGAAAGTGCCATTGACAAAGATTTCCCCATAACTGCAAAAGAGATTGGGAAAGCTACATTGATGGATCCAGGGTTAAGCAAGGTACTTGATTGGGTCATGGTGGGGTGGCCAGAGGTTTGTGATGAAGATTTAAAACCCTATTACACCCGTCGACATGAACTTTCTTGCGAACAAAATTGCATTCTCTGGGGTTCCAGGGTGATCATTCCCCAGTATTTAGGGAAAAGATGTTGGAGGAGTTGCATTGGGAGCACCCAGGCATTTGTGCAATGAAAGCAATAGCACGCACCTGTGTTTGGTGGCCCGAGATGGATGAGGAAATTGAACAAAAGATTAAACTATGCTCAGTGTGTCAGGATGTGCGGACCTCTCCACCTTGTGCCCCATTGATACCCTGGAAATGGGCCACGCGACCCTTTCAGCGTATTCATGTTGATTTTTGTCAGAAAGGGAGTGATTTTTTTTTTGTGGTGGTTGATAGTTTTTCAAAATGGATAGAGGTTAAGCACATGACCTCAATCACCACAGAGAAAACCATAAATGAGTTGCGTCTTATATTTGCCCAACATGGTTTGCCCGAGGAGTTGGTATCAGATAATGGGCCACAATTTGTTTCAAGTGAGTTTGCTGAGTTTATGTATAAAAATGGCATTAAACATACCCTAACTCCTCCTTATCACCCACAATCAAATGGTGCTGCTGAGAGATCAGTCAGGGTGGTAAAGGAGGCGCTTGTCAAACAAGTTCTAGAGGGAAACAAGGGAAGGTCTATCAAACATAGACTAGCAGACTTCCTCTTGAGATACCGTACCACCCCACACAGCACCACAGGTGCTACGCCAGCAGAACTGTTGATGAGACGTAGACTGCGTACTCGTTTAACTCTAGTGAAACCTGATCTAGCCAAAACTGTAGAGAGTAAACAAAATAAGCAGAAGGAATATAAGGATTTAAAGGGTCATCAAGATAGGCTGTTTGCAGAGAATGACATAGTTCGAGTGAGAAATACTCAAGCCCGTAGCAATACTGAGAGGCGGATTCTGGGAAGGGTAGTTAAGGTCTGTGGACCCAGAACATATTTAGTTAAGACTGGCTATAAGACCAGATATGTTCATGTTGATCATTTAATTAAAGCACATGATCAGGTGCCACATGAAACTAGAGAGTTGGACATACCTGTCCCAGAACTGTGTGAGCAACCTACTCTAAGTGTAGATAATAGCCAAGTTTCATCCGGGGTGCCGCAGCCACCAGTCAATTTTTCAGATAAAGATAATGAGCCTAATTCTAGTATTAGTGAAGAGAATGTAAACACACCATCGCCGGTTGTTCTGAGGCGATCAGAGGGAATTAGGAAACCTGTTGACCGACTGAACCTGTAGTGAATGTTATAGCTACTATTGTGTTACTTGTAAGGCCATGTTGTTTGACCTCGTGGGTTTATATCACTAGCAATATATTACAATATCTTTCCATATTTATTTTAAAAATTTGGAAGCCCTCTCCTTCCAATTGAGTATTCTTCTGCAAGTTTGCCCCTCAGATGGAGAGGATGAAACGAAAAGAAAGAAAAACCAGCTACAGTACGGTAGATCATTCTATGTTAAGGCCCGACCATAGACTTCATTTTGAATTGTGTTCATTACTTCATGTGATAAGGCAAAAAATTCTGACCTTTGTGCTCATCCCTAAATATTCGATCAGCAGACAATAGCGAGAATTTAGGAACAGAAGCAAACCTAGTAGGGGAGACAGGGTTTTAATTCAAAAAGTAATTGTCTCAGAATAGAGTGGGTGAGAGAGTTTTCTTTCCATACCTAAACCTCGTAGTCTGACTTACCTCATACCATGAGGTAAAAAGGTAGCTTAATTAAAAAAAACGAACAAACAAACAAAATAAATCATAATTTTGAGCATAATTTAGAAAAACTGAGCGATAGTAGCATAATATGCTACTTTTACTGGCACAATCCATAAGGTCCCACTGGTGTTAGCTTGTACCTCAGTTTTTCATTGTATCTTGGGGTTAGTAGTCTCTAACTACTAATCTCTAAAAAGAGATGATGTTGTCGAGCGTTTAGAAATGAAGGGGGAGGGAAGGAAGCCGTCTTGGCATATGAAAGACTAAACTATCAGCCGTTTTCTTTCCTTAGTTTTCTGACTCTTTAACGTTTGGCGATGAACACAATTAACATCCCATGAAGCCTGTGATTGAACTGAACGAAGACATTATAATATTTTTGACTTGGGGAGTTTTAAAAAAGAAATGTATCGCTACAATTGATCATGAATGAACATTTCACCGTATCAGTCCCTCTGGGGACGATACTGATCTACGAATTTGACTTCATCTGTCTGATGAGTAAATGGTTATGTATTTCTATCCGAAGAGATCAACTGATGGGATACTCAAAACTAGCTTCCGGCGTGTAAATATTAAGTCGTATAAGATAACCATCGTTGAACGAGATTCAGTATGAGGAGCCATTTGTGCCAAAAATATCAATCGCTAGAGATAAAACTCAGTAGTTAATGCTAAAATATCAATCGCTTGAGATAAACTCAACCGTTAGTGCTAGCAACAAATCATAACTGTAGATCAATTTAGTTTCCGTTCTAAAATGGTCAGTCGTTCGTGCTGAACCTCAATCGCTTGTGTTTTGCACCAAACGCCATTGTAAAATCGCTAATTATAAATCGCTGGTGTTCCGAGGCAGTTCGATAGCGCCAGATATAAATCCTATGTTTAAATGTCAATTGATATTGTAAAACTTTTATGACTTGTGCTATTTTCAAATTCAGCAATCATAAGGATGACAGTAGTCTGTGATGCCACCGATCGTTTGTGAAAATAAGAAATCGCTATCGCAAAACCTCAATCTTAAGTGCTAGTATAGATTTGTTATCGATTCTAACTTAAAACAGTGTTTTTAATAAATAATTATTGTCGGAAAAGTTATTGTAAATCTAAAATACAATTAAAACTTCTGATTGGATCAACGTCTCCACAAATAATCTATTGAAAACCCAAAAATAATTTGCAATCCAATACTCTTTGTAAAATTCAGAAATATGTTTGAAATCGCGAAAAATGACCAAGGTGATCGTGTCCTATTGATGCCTTGAGGTGGACAGCGAGACGGCATCCTCAAACACATTTATTTATTAACTACAGGCTCACCAGTCATGCAGCATGGGATTTATATAAAAAACTACGATTCAACATATTTTTCTGGGTGTAAAAACATTTTTGGGTCTCCCTTGTCGGCTTACTACTTCCTGGCTCGTGATAAATACATGTTTTATGTAACTATTAAACTTCAATGTTTTGACGTAAAACTTCAAAGGTAGAAAAGGTTGTGGTTATTCATCGTGGTGAAAAACAATAAAATCTCAGTTTTTCGTTTATCTCACGATGTAGTCACGTGTGATGTAGATCGCGACCTTTCGACTTCATACTGCTAGTCTTCTTCAGGCGATGAGGTCGACTGGTCATGCGTGATCTTATAAAGCATGATGCTCTGAAGTGATCAGTTGTTTTTCAACAGCTCTGATTGGTGCATTTCGATCCTTGCTGATCACTCAGTGATTTGCTCCCTCGGCGGTCCGCTGTCGCACGGCTCTCCTGTTGTTGTGTTTTTTGATCATGGGCATTCACGCTTCTGGAATTTCTATTCCACTATCCCTGTTGATGTTGCTAGGGTGAAGTCTTATGTGAATTACCTCTTTGACCCTATGCGTGTAGTAACAAGGGTCACGATAAATAAACTTTCGTAGTCTGCGACTTGAAAACAGCGCGTACGCCTCGTTGTTGTAGGCAATGGCGAAGCTGTTCCCACAGACCTTTGACATAAGCTAAAACCGCATTAGCCTTAAACTCGATGGAGGGTTCGGTACTGTTGTTTGTTTTTTCGGTCCTGGTAAGTTTCTGCAAGAACTTTTCAAACACCTTCATAAGGTGTTACTTTTCAATACCAGCAAGTCTTTAACCGACTGTAAATATCAACAAAAATTTTCCAACGGAAGCTGTAATTTAAGTTTTCGGTAATGTTGTGTTCCTTGTCGATACCGGTATCGGTCGAGCTCTGCGAGATCGAACTCATAGACGCCAGACTTGAGAAATCTGCCTTTGTTTGTTAGCTACAAACACCATTCCAGACAACAATTAATATGCGCGAGGACCGTCTCAAATTGTAGGGATGCAATCGGCGGCAACTTGAACACGTCTCCCACTGATCTTACAAATATTACCCATTCCCACTTTATCATTTTCATAAAGACTCAACTCGAGCACATGGAAAATGGCGACGTCTGCTCCAAACAGTGCTATAAGAAGATTGCTAGAGTTAGTTGGTATTGGAAATGACCTTATTCAGAACTTTGAAGAGCAGGACATTACCGCAGAAATAGTTCCTATCCTATCTAATGCACAACTGATTCAACTTGGCTTAACAACGATAGCAACTACCGGTAGTTCGTTCTATTTGCCGAAATAGCAGCACGAGAAATGGGGAGCCAGCACTTTTAGTTTGAGTTTTTGTCAATAAATGCAACCTCGGCAGATGGCTTCCTCTGTAAGTTATTGGAAGCCATTTGTGCTAAAAATATTAATCACAATTGATAAAACCCAATCGGTAGTGCTAAAATGTCAATCGCTAGCGATAAAACTTAAAAAAGGGAATAGTGAGTGAGACAATTGTGATAAGTGACCGCTTTGCAGCCAAATTAGCTTTATCGCGGAGCTTATTCTTGTGAAATAAAAAATCCACGTCCAACATGTACAAACAGACGAATTTAAAATCATAAGACTGCACCTCTGTCTAAAGCTTTTAAGAACAAAAACTTAATTGCATGAGATGGAAACTACATGCCAAATAAAAGTATAAAGGAATTAAAAATTTAGTGAAATGAGAGACAATGACTATATTATTTTGGTTGGGAAAGTCTTAGAGTATTATGTATCAGCTATAATATAACTAAAGATCAATTTTTTTAAGTCTAAATACTATTGTCGCTATCATTGTTACCAATATTATCACTATCACTACTACAAAACTCTTGCCATACCGTTCCCTGTATGTATCGCGTTTGGGTTTTAATTACCTGTGAGTTTTTGTATGTTTCATTGGCTGCGTTGTGTGCTTGAAGTTGATGTTCACATCGTTGTGTATTGTTACTTAATTTCCGTCGAGTAATTTGTAATTTTTTTTGTAGAAATTTAGTCTTGTGGATCGATATTTGTGTCCCCTCTTTAGAAGCAGCCTCTTCGTTTATAAATGCTTCTAAAAGGGATTTCGTTATTTTGAGGTTATTTATAAGTTTTTGTTCTCTTTTTTGTATTTTTCCGACTCATGTCTCGTGCCGTAGGTGTGTGGAGATTTTAAATAAATGATGAGCACAAATACGCGTGACTTCGAGTTTAATCATCCCAACTGTGTCAATTACAAATCGCACGAATATGTCGTGTGGTTACTAAGTGGTCTAATTTGTGGTTTAATTGACAGTTTCAAGTCCAAACTGTCCGACTTTACCGGTCTGGTTACAAACACTTGTAATCCGGCTGTCAGGCCAATTGGGACAGTTAAGCTGCCGATGAAAATTAAGCACAAACATTTTGGGATAACCGGCGAAACTAAGTTGGGTCATTTCTTGGTTCATCCAGTGAGAAAAAATCTCAGGAACCGACACCCTAAACACTACGTATTCTCGAAGGGCAAGTAACCTCGTTGCTTTGAAAACGAGAATCCTTTGAGTTTTTGAGTCAGAATTTTTTTAGTGGTATTTGAAGTTGATAATATATATTTGAACAATTTCATTAAAAATGCTTCGAAATAAGACAGAATTGTGCATTGGAAGTTTCGGATATCGGGCGATCACACCAAGGACATTTACCCAGACAGAAAGTTTCTAATTCGGAAAACAAAGAAGTTCTCATTGTTCCAAGGTATTCCTAGAAGGAAAAAGGCAAAAGAACCTTGAAAAGTTTTTTTAGAAATAAAAAAAAAAAACAGATTTTTTAATGAAGTACAGAATTAATTTTTTGTTTACATACTCAAGTTTTCTAATAAATATTCATTCAACGTAACGTTCGATTTGTCATGGAGACTCAAAATGTTTTCATCTTCATCCAATGTTTGTAACAAAAAAAAGATCATCTTTCTTAATATTATTGCTAAGCCTAGCCTTCAAGGAATTGTTTAATATGTCCACATTTAAGCATTCCTCGTTAAAATTATGCTCGGTTGGTTAATTGAACAGTACAATACGATCAAGAAAGTAATTGTCGTCAAACGAGAAGCATTTTACTGTTTCTTTGCCAAAGTCTCATTAGGCTCCGTTCCCGAGATGCCTGCCGAGTCTTGTAGAGAGATCAAAGCCAGCG